AATTGCATTTATAGTCATAGAAGGGGTTGCAGCAATTTCCTCAGATGTTTTCAGCTGAGTTTCCTGGAAAGGTCAGAACTGCTAGAGTAAAAAAATCTTGATGCTTTGCCGTAGTGAAAATGGCAGAAGTTCTTTTACTTTCCTTTAGACTTGGTAACAGATACTAACTGTAACTTTTTTGGCTGGCCTAATTCAAACATTTGCTATAAATCAAAGGAAGCTTCTTGATAGATGAGCAGAAGCTTCAGCATGTAGTCTGATAGAATAGACTTTTTCTTTGAAAGGTAATAAATGATGAAATTCTGCAAACAAAGCTAGGTCTTGCAAGCAACAGTAGGAAAATGGCAGATGGGCTGAAGACTTTTCTCTTTGGTAACCATTAACCACTCTTCTTAATCTCTTTCCAGCTTGACAAGGCACGTGTCATGTCAACAAGTAACAGGTTTTGACTAAAAAAATGAAAGATGATGAATTTCTAGATTTTATAGGTTGAAATAGCCATTTAATAGGGCATAGGTACACTTGAATATGTCATATTTTGCTATGCAATGGAGTTTCATTGCACTATATAACTTGTTAGTTAATATTTTGTCACATTGTAAAGCTCACAAGCATACAGAAAATACCTTATAATTTTGTGGCTCATATTGGTGTAGGATTGGATTAGAGAAGATCCAAATAAAACCAACTGAAGTATTGTTTAGGATTTTGTGTTTCTTTGGAGAAACGTTATTTCAAAATTTGCTAAAAGAAAGTGATCTTTTCATGGTGATTTGGCAGTTGACATCTATGCAGTATGGTTAAAGCCTCATTAAAAAAACAGTATTTTTTTTAGATTATAAAAGAGTATACAAAGCGTAAGGGCCTTCTGAGTACTCTAAAATGTGTTTGCACCCTATAATGTCTTTCAAATCATAATATTTCATCAAATCAGGCTTAAAGCCTGATGTAAAAATCGGGATTTTTAAAGTTCACAGTGGCTTTTCAGAATTTCTCAGATGGAGGATGCCTCTTCCCAATAAATACTGCTTATACTACTGGAATCACTCTGAAACACACATACCCATGAGGTGGAAGCTGTCTTAATGTTTGTGGTGTCAAAAGGGCCTGGTTTAGATTTAGTGGTTGAAACGTGAGGTTATTTATTTAAGGGCTGGGATCCTGAGGTTCTGGAAAGGGCTCTCAAGGTCATCGGGTCTGGACCAATTTAGCATTACCACAGAGATTCCTAGTGAAAGTGCTCACACTGTCATTGTGTGGAGACTCAGCGTGCTGTAGATGTCCTGCAGTACCTGTCCAGTCCCCCTTGTCCTACTCAGGGATAGATTGGTCTACAGTGAGTGGCGGTTGTAGCTAATCAGGGTGTGAATGTGTTTGCTGTAGTCAAAATATGACCAGAAACCAGTGCAAGAATCCTACGAGAATCCTAATCAGGAGACATACTGAAGTCCTTGCTAGGCAGGCAGCTAATTGCAGGTTGATCCCCCCCCCCCGTAATAAAGTCTCTTACCTTTACTGTTTTTCCTCTCTTTGCATACACAAGCTCCTTCTTCAAGAAACAGCACTCCCTGAGCCCACAACTGGATTGTTAGTTTCTGTTCATACTCCTTTAACACTTAAATTCAGCTGTTCTTGAACTACTCATGGCAGATTGGGGATTTCCTGTCCTGAGTGAAAGTTTGCCTTCTTTCTTGTTTAGAAATTTTAAATTTCTTGTTTAGAAGTAATACCTGCATACTTCAACTTGAAACCAGAACCATAATGAATTTTATCGTATGCTGGCGAAAGTTCCCCAAAGCAATCTTTAGTGTACGTGGGTTTGGAAGGTTGGTTGCCAACTCTTTCCTCACGTGGTAGGCTTCTGCTCCATGCAAATCTAGAATGAGTGGGTTATGTTCAGAGATTTCTATAATTATAATTGGTGGAGCACCGGGCTTTTAAGGCAATTATAATTGTATTATTTACCAAATATGCAAGGTTGTGAAATTCAGTGTATTTTTTGTGGTGAAATAAAGTGAGCTGATTTGGTATTCCTTTGTGGCCAAAGTCATTTGTGCTTGTTTTCAGGAGCCAAACAAGGCTTCCTCAAAAAGCTGTCAAGAGCAGCAAAGACTCCAGTTATCATTCCTTTGGAGACTTGAGGGTACAGTGCTGCTTTCAGTTATAGCAGACAATTTTTTCTGCCACTTTTGAAGTTGGAAATAGGGCTTTAAAAATAAAAATTATTGTACTGCTGTTTCAGAATTGATGTGTTGAGGATTTCATTGCATTCTGACATAAAGAATGGAAAATAACACGGTAATGACACACAGGAAGCAAGTTCTGACAAGGTGGGGTCTTCTTTGGCTGTGGTCTTATGGTCCTGTTCACAAGAGTGCTATTTGACTCACAAATTCTTTTTCAATTTTAGATTTTTTTAATATACCATGAGTTTGTCACCTTGCCACAAAATAAATTTAAAGCTTCAATACAACAAGCTTTGAGAGGACTCATTGTGTATTTTAATTTTTAAGACTGAAAAAAAACTCATGGAATAATGTACTCATTAGTATGTATTAGTCCACTTTTTAGAAAGTAATATAGCATTTTCTTCTAAATGTGTGCAGTGTTCTTAAATTATCACATGGTTCACTTTTATACAAGAACTGTTTGCAGTATTTCTTCTAACAGCAGCATCTATTACATACATACATTCACCTTTTATACACTTATTCGTTCACATTTGTTATTTCAGTTATGATGGGTACTGTGATGAGTTGGATTTTAGATACTCTTTTACCTGTGTGATGGCACTAGATAGAAAATTAATTGTAACCTTGGTGGCCAGCAGTTCATAAAACTTTTATCTCCGCTAATGGAATGCTGATACACAGTAAATGACTTGTGCAGATACAAAATACACTATTAATGTAGTGTGGCTAATAGTGCAGCTTTGACATATCAATTGGACTAGGGAAATTTATGGCATTCAGGTTTAAAGTGCATCTTTTAAGAGAGTGACTTGGAAATTCCAGTTTTGTTTGGTGCTGTTCTCAGGTAACCTCAGAAACTTCAAATAGAAATTCGCTTTCTGTGGTTTAGTGCTCATGTCTGATGTGCTGGAAACATAACTAAGATGTACAGTACTACCTGTGTATGGTACGGTGCTGTGGGATGGCGGAGGTTGCTACTGCACTGGGATGTAGAAGAGGGCAGTGAATGTGTTAAAAGCGCGGAGGAGAGGTAGAGGTTTTTACAAGGGCAAGAGTCTGTCCAAAGCTATCGCCTGTCCCTGATGCCTGCTCAATTTAGACAATCTCATCAAATCTGCAGATGACGCCAAATCAGGGAAGCAGTTGACATACTTGAAGGCAGGGCAGCTGTTCAGAGGGATCCAGGCATGAACCTTATGAAAACCAGCAAGGGCAAATACCAGTTCTGTCCCTTGGAATGAGGAATTGCTGGCAGACACACCGACTGGGGCTTAATGGGTTTGGGAGCAGCTCTGCTGAAGAGAACTTGTGGGTCCTGGTGGGCAGCAAGGTAAACATAAGCTAGTTTTGTACTCTGGCATCAAACACGATCAACAGCAATCCTGGGCTGCATTAAATAGCCTGCAGATTAAGGGAAGTGATAACACTACCTAGCACCAATTAGGCCGCATCCAGAGTACAGCATCCCATTTTGTGGACAGGATATGGATTGTGTGTAAAAGAAATACATTGATAAATTGGAGCAGGTTCTGTGGCTGAGGGACCTGAAACACATGCTCTATGAGGAGATACTCAGGGAGGTGGGTTTGTTCAGCCTGGAGAAGAAATTATGTGGGGAGGAGAGCCTTCCAATACATACAAGGAGGTTATCAAGAAGACAGAGCCAGGCCCTTCACAGTGGTGCTTGGTGGGGAAGACAGGAGAGAGTAGATAGGACTTGAAAAGAACGTTTCAGGCTGGTTATAAGGAAATTTTTTGTCTCTAGGACAGTCAAGCAATGGAGCAGATTGTTCATAAGCTTATATGGTCTCTGCCTTCGAGGTTTTCAGGATCCAACTGTACAAACAGCTTTGAGCAACCTTCTCTGACCCCAGAGGTGGCCCTGCTTTGAGCTGGAGATTGGAGAACTGCTGAGCTCCCTCCCAGCTCAAGTGGCTCTGCAGCCTGACCTATGACAAAGCTTGGAGCCAAAACTGAACTTATTTTTCCCTTCTATTTTGATATATGGTTATATGCAAATGCTTTAGCCTCTTCAGTATGTCAGTTACCTGTCTGTAAAATGGAGGTAATGCCTACTTGTTTACATCAGTGGTGTTTCAAGATGCCAAAGAAATTGATCACCTTAAAAGGCAGTCAGCTGCAAAATGTGTTAGTGTTAGCAATGGTTCTGACAGCAGGCTCTCTATATGCTTCTGCCAATTATGGTAACATTTGTCATATTTTCCTGGTTAATATTTTTCTTCCTGCTGTGGTGGTTGTTTCTGTGGGCTTCTAGAAGGAGGGGAAGCAAACTTAGCTGCCTTTACATCAAGAATACTGTACTCAGTTCTGCCCTGTGTGTCGAATGTGCAGTTTAATGATGGTTAAACTGAGAAGCCTCTCTCCCCCCGAGCTTTAGTGATCTTTAGTAAAAGATTTGCAGAGCTGTCCTATAATTTTCAAGCATAAATAAGAAATTAACCTCTTTTTGAAAGAAAAAAAATAGTATCCATTGGAAGAGTTACTTAAAATTTCTTTCATTTTAGAATCATAGAATAGTTAGGGTTGGAAAGGACCTTAAGATCATCTAGTTCCAAGCCCCCTGCCATGGGCAGGGACACCTCACACTAAACCATGCCACCCAAGGCTGTCCAGCCTGGCCATTTTGTGGCATTTTAACTTATAAAGAGCCTTGGAGGTAGCATTAGAAGAGGCAGCAGTTTTAAGAAATCTTGGGAGCTTGAGATTTAGAATATTCTGTAATACCTTTTTTTAAACTGTTTCTTCTTTTTCTTCTCCCTCTCCACCTGCTTTTTTTTTTTTCTGCAGGAAATAAAGAAGGACATGAAGAAAGAAAATACTGCCAACAAACCACCAGAGAAGCCTATAAGTGAAATTTCCAATGGAAGCTCTTTACCACTGTCTGAGACAATTATTAGAACCAACAGAAAAGGTACAGTATATGGAAGCTTTAGTGCAGATCTGCAGACCTTTAAAAGAACAATATGTAAACCTTTCTTGTTTTCTAGAAATAAAGCTATATTCTATTTAACTGTAAAGGCATAGCAGGAATAGTAATAAAAATAAGTTCATTGTCCTTTTAAACTGGCATATGGCTGCATGTATTATGTCTACTATTTCCACATGAATTTGCACAGACACTCCTTTCTTCTTGAAGAAATCATTCCTAGATACATTTAATTAAGGAGGGCTGTATGAGGGGATTACTAAAGCTTTTTAAAGTAAGGAACTGGCAGCTTGCATCTGAGGAGGTTTCTGTACAGTGATGTCAGTCCACCTTCTTGTATTCATGTTCTATCTGGGACAGAGACTGGTTACTGACAGAGAAGTTTAAAAAAAAAAATAAATAAAATAAAAAATCCTGAAATCATAAAGCTTAATGCGTTAGTTTCCTGGGGAGTGTCTGTCACTGTCTTCTGTTTCAGACTGGAATGTGTGCTCTTCATATCTGGCTTGATTTCCAATGCAGATTCCTGTGTAGGGTTTTGAGTTACTGAAATGAGAGCCTCCAGATCTTCTGCCTCTTTCCCTAGCTCTCAGTCCTGCTCTCAGAAACATTAGAACAAAACAAAAAAAATGGCATTTTCTTTAGGTTATGTTTGTCCTCCCGCAAATCAATGGGAGTATAATAGGCTATGTGCTAGAGAGGGACTGTGTTTTTTCATGAAGAATTCATTGGACAGTTTCTCACTTGCTGCCTTTTACAGAATAATCTGTTGTCATTAATCATTGCTGTAATGTGATTTCAACTTTGGCATGTCTTCTATACTGTTAGGACTATGCATATGGAAATTTCATCTTCTGTGTTACCAGTGAATATTGCATTTGAGCTGCAGCTTGATCAGAGGTCTTAAACCTAAGATTTGGAACTGGAAGTAGAGAAGATTTAATAATTTCTGCAAAACGTATGCCTTCCTTTAAAAGGCAAGGGGGAGTAATCTCCGCCTCTTTTGCAAGGATTGATGTCCTTTGAAAGAAAAATTGGAAATAAATCTCAGAAAGCTTTGTCTTTTGACTTTGCAATGTCATCTTGAATCTGGAGATACGTCCAACATTTCTGCTTTGGGTCATAGGTTTTTCAAGCAACAGCAGAATTAAATTACCAAGAATTACTCTTATTTCATGGCTGCTATACAGAACCATATGAGTAGTTGGGAAATTATCTAGGGACCAAGTCTGTTCCATATTGCTTCAGCTGCTATTTGGAGAAGGCTAATAGCTGCAGCAGATGCAGAGATTTGGTTCAGTCACAAGGGGATAACACTTCTAATATACTTGGAGCACAGGCTTTCTCCTCTTTCCTCTGGCTCAGAAACTTTAAAGGTTTCAGGGGATAAAGAAGTTTTTTTTCTGTCTGTAGCTGGAGTATACAAAACTTCATATTTATTGAAGGGAGAGAAGCAAAGACTGATGGGAAGATCTGTAGCTTGAGGAACTGGGTTAGGTTTTGAAATAGCAAAATTTCTTATTAGTATGTTACTGCATTGTATGTCTTTGGTGGGGATTGAATATCTCATAGCTACCTCTATAAAGTGTCAGGGTTAGTAAATTTTTCATTTTGGCTGCTTCTCCGCAGCTGTTTCCATTGCTGCACAGCAAGCAGTTGCATCATGCCATACTTTAGCAGTGTAGCTGAGGATACGTAGAGCATAACAAGGCCAAGAGAGCTTTCCCTGTTTTCTTTTCTGGGGTCAGTTTGAGCATGGTGCCACAGTAGCCTTGCTTAAGTGAGAACAGCTAAGTGAGTAGTAACTGTTGTGTGCAGTAATAGTCTTCTAAGCTGTATGTTTCAACTCTCCTTCTGAAAAGTATTGCAATATTTTACTGAAGAGGGAGTACTAACTGCCACAGAGAGTATTTTCTTCAAGTGTTCTTGTGCCGCAATTTTTATTAAACCCTCCCTCAATCTCTTTACTGATCATAGAATGTGACCTGACCTGAAAGATGGTACTTTTTTTTTTTCCCCCCTCATTGTTAGGAAGTGAGAAGGAATGGGATGTATCTAAAGGTCTTTAGATTTTTATTTTTTTTTCTACCACTGTTCAGTATTAAAAATAGTAGCCAGTAGTATTTATTTGCTTGGGTAATGTAGTGTTGCTGCTTGGAACTTCAGAGCAGATTCAGTGACGTGGGATTGAAGCATTCTGTGCTGGTGCATTGTTTCTATCACTGAGATGATGACAAGTGTTTTTCTACTGCTGTGGTGTTATGTTGCATAGTTTTACTATTTAACTTGGTTGGCCTAATTTAAGTGACAGCATTTTAGCAGGCATTCACATTTTGAGCAGAAGAATCTTGGCCTCTTGGGCTTCTGGCTTGTAGGGAGTTTTTCCTTCAGGAATATTGACAAGTGTCCAGAAGTGGTATTCAAGGAAAATAGCTGCATTATTCGTAAGAAACATCTAAGTAGCTAAGAGGAAAAGAATGGATTTCTGAACAAAAAAGGTATTTAGGATCCAGCTTCATATTGTTTGTTCATGCTGATTATTTCTAAGTGCCATATTATAATAAAATCAGTGTAAATTGAAATGTCTTCTGTGAAAGCTTATTTCATCAAATAGGTAATGAATATTACTACTTTGGATTACAGGTGTAATGTAGGAACAATTTAAAGTTGGTGTAATGGCACAGGTAGTAGCCTACCTGGGTTAGTACTGCCATTACACAGTGAGGGTGGCAACTGATTGTGGTATTAATTGCTGTAGGTCCCCATCTGTGAATCATTCAGGTTTTTGTTAGAAAGACCAGGAGAAAATGGAAGGATTTGACTTCTGTCAGCTTTTCACTGGGGGCAGTAAAAATGGAACATTTCCAATCCTTGAATGTTTCTTACCGACCACAAATACTAGTGACCTAATGGAAATACATGGTAGAAGTGACTGCTGTGGTGGGCATAATTTAGGAAACTTTTACACTTGGCCTTGATGTATTTGTGAGAGTTAATATTTGTAGGTATTTCCTCTCTTTACAGGGTAGAAAGTATGATCTAGAAGTTAGGCTACACCTAAGAAATAATGGGTTTATTTTCTAGGTCTGCCACAAAGTTGCTGTGTAACTCCTGATAAATCACTTAAACTGTTGGCCAAATTACCACACTTTAATTTCCAAGATCAGGTATCTTAATATGTATTGATTTTTTAGAAAGGCAGAGGGATTTTTTAATTTTTTTTCTGGTTTATTGCTGTGGCATATCTAAATATCCAAATAACCCCCAGGTATTCCAGGTGTGTCTGCATCAGGCTGCTTATTGGCAAAACCTGGGTTTATACATGCCTCATAAAGATGCTGAGATCCATTATCGCATGGTAGCCATGGCAATTCATATCAAGGAAACTCAGCGTTTTATTATAGCATTCTAGTGAGTACATGCTTCCCTCCAAGAGGTTCAAAAAAGGACCATCTTCTTGAGTGTAGAGTTGGTTTTAAGGACATGTGAAGTCCTTATGTGTTCCCTGACAGTTCCCAGGGCTGTGCACCAATAGTCTAGGCTCTAATGGATGCTTGAGGTGCTGCGTTATCAGCCCCTGTCTAGGGAAAAAGGCTGTGGCACTGAACGACCTGTCTGAAGCTGTGTGAATGTCAGCTATGGTTGGCTTGTATAGCTATTGCCAGAATCAGGGAGGGATCATTCTTTTGCTTTTCCCTACAGTTGATATGCCAAGACAAATCTTTCAATGCGAGGTGTAGGTCTTTTAGTGTATCTTTTCACTGCTCCAGAATTTTTAGGTGTCATGTAGAACTATTGTTCTAAAACTTCTGACAGCTGACTTAAAAAAAAAAATGTAAAATTTCTTTTTTCTATTTACAATTGGCATTGTTGCACCCTAGTAGTAAAAGTTTGGGGAAGCTTTTTCTTCCCTGAGAACATTTTCAGGCTGTTTGGAAAAAAACAAAATTGTCGCTATTATTACTATTATCTAAGAAACGTTAGAAAATTAGTCGGGTCTTGGAACAGGAAGACACTGTAAGATATATATTTTTTTATTTTCATAAATGTTTTTCCAACATGGTGAAATTCCATTTTTTCCAAGTTAACTTCAAAATCTAAAACCAGATTGGAACTTGTGCAACTGTTCCATATCTGTCATAAATTCAATACAATCTTTGTACAGGTACAAAGAAATTGCATGCAAAGAGCTTAGCTGTTAAATGGCTATGGCTTATTTTAGGATATTTTTTCTCTGAATTTTGAGTATCCTTTTTTAAAATATCCTATTCATTGTGCTGTTTTATGTGTCGGGGAATAGGAGCCCACTTGCAAAGGCCAAATTGCAAAACTGGAGTTGACAGGCTGTATTTTCTAAGTAAGCTAACAACAATTGTTATACAAGTAAACATATTTGAGGAAAAGATATATTGCCTTGCCAGATGTATTTATTTTATATAAACTGTAAATGCAGTCTGCATTGGGGTTGTTCAGGCCAGCAAATCTGACAGCTCATTGTGTGTTACATGTTCTTAATCAGAGCCAAACACTGGAAGAAATTTTTTTTTCTAGTTGAGAATTCTTTATTTTACCTTTCACACTACATTTAAATAATGAAAAGAACTTGCATCCTACCCTAAAAGGGAAAGGTTTGTGAAAGTAGATTTAATGATATAATAGGTTTATGTTATGAATAATTAACAAGTCTAGTATATACAAACCTGAGATTTAAGTTTATTTTTGTAAATTAGAGAAATAGTAAAAGCATTTTACAGGAAATGTGGTGCATTGTTGAGTAGCTTTATGATGATCTGGATACGAAAAGACGCCCTATTTATTATTGGGATGAGCAATGGCGACTCAGTGTATGAGTTGTGTCAACTCTGAGCTTTATATTAAGTGATGTATGTAAGCTATGATTCTGGTCACATTTTTCAACAGAAAGGCAAACCTCAAAATTTCCTTCATAAAATCTTTTATTACAAACCTAGTGCAAATAACTGCTT